AATTCACAACTACACAGATTACCCATGTGACTAGAAGAAAAAACCGTCGAAACTGTTTTGCTTTCTAATGTACATCTCTTCTCGATAATGTTTTTTCTTTTTAATATCAAGTTCATTGGGGAGTTATTCTCCTCTGTGGTCCAATTAGCTATCCTACTTTGTTTCGTTTTATTTGATGTATCCATTGAGAATAATTTTATTGTTACAAATTACAAAAAAAGGAACCTCAAAATGTAAACATGAACCTCAAAAGTCGCGCTTTAATTTAAGACGATTAAATAGTATAAAATCCTATTATGAATATCGCCCGAAGAGTTTAATTTCTTTAGTCCGAATATCAAATTTAAGTCGTTTCGGAAAAGTGTCTTTAACATAGCCTTAATTAATTGTTAGTCCATGGATAGAGGCTAGCCTATCACAGGACTAAGTTAAACTCGAATATTTTTTTTCCTAGTTAAGGTTAAAAATTAAGGAATGTCAAGTGGAAGAATAAGGATACTTCCGACGTGTGCTTTTGCTTGAGTTTGGTCAGGGCAACGGGGAACCGGCGATATAAATTTTATTAATCTACAAGTGCTGAGAATCGGTATAATGATTTGTCATTAATATAATGGTTGTTAAAATATGTTCGAAATACGTATGTACAGAGTATAACATCAACATATAGGTCAGTATGGCCGGTTGCCTGCCCCTATTCGGATGATAATACAGAGATTGCCGAAAAAGTTACTCGATTACTTTGTTGGTAATGATATTCGCAGTTCTCTCAGTTATGACGAGTGCAACTGTTTTTCTTAGTCTTACATACTATATTCCATCCATGTTTCTACAAAAGATCACTTCTGATCGATGACAACTGATCAAGTCTTATTTTCGACAAAAGAGGTGTCAAGATGCAAGGTTATGAACCGAAAATATGTCGCTTGATAATTGTCGATTAAGTTGCAATCAATATTTATCCTGCGTTTCTGGTCGATTCATACTTTTACAGAAGCGATCTTTTATAGAAACATGAATGGAATATAGTACATAAGACTTTTAAATATTCCTATCGTTCTTCCTAATCTCCAATTCCAATATCGAACTTTTCAACGCAAGAAAGTAATTAAGAAATTATGAAACAAGAAAATATGTTATTATTTATCTCTTTAACTATTACTCTTATTTATTTTACTTAAATCCGTAATGTTTATTTCTCTGTTCCACTTTTTTAAACATCTTTTTTAATTCAACGAGGCTCGACTCCTGTCACGATCCAGTCGATAAGCTGCTATAACGATCATGGTGTAAAGTTAGTTGCACTCGTCATAACTGGGAGCACTGCAAATATCATTACCAATAGAGTCAACAAGTGATTTTTTCGGCAACCTCTGTATTATCGTCCGAATAGGAGCAAGCAACCAGTCATACCCTGACCTATATGTTGATGCTACACTTTATACATATAGGGTTCTTTTACGGATTTATTCTTTATTCTGCACTATAGCAGATTGAGAGACCCGAAAGAGAGCCAGACTAGGGCTTTAAAATGATGTATAAAACATTACAAAATGCTTTTTCTACTTGAACAAACTCTCATTGGAAAAAAACGCTGGAAGAATTATGCACCAATCCAGTACTAGACCGAAACATCTCAATCGTCATGACTAAGTCTTAGCTCCTTCTTCTCCATAGCACCCTCTCGATATTGACCGAAAAGTCTCCCACTTTCGGTCAGCTGGAAGTCGATGACTCCTCGACAAAGACGTCGCAGCATTCGTACCTTCGTTTAATTTCAACGGGCTCTGTGGAGGTAGATCCACGCGGCTTCCGGCATAAATTTGTCTGAAAGTCGCATAAAGCCTTTAACGGGTCTTAGCGTACGATGAGAACGATCGTCTTCGGAGCATATTATCTTTTCCACGACTGTGGCTTTCTTATAGTCGTTGTCGACGACGACGGCCTTGTACATCGTAAAACCGACCTATCCCAACTCAATAATTCCCGCCGGCTGCGTAGTCTGCATTTTCTTGGCGTCCCGGAGGGAACAGCAGGTGGACCGTACCGAAAGCCGCTCCGGAGGCCGCGGCGGCGGCGACGACTTCATCCGCTGATCGCCCCACGCTCTCGGCTGTCCTCGACGAAAGTTTTTAATCTGCTTTTCATTATGTTCGTGGAAGACGTAGCCGCCCAGCCACCCCTCTCGCCTTCGCTCTTTGCGCCTTCGTTGCCGGCTGGCTGGCTGGCTGGCTGGCTGGCACGTTATCGTGTGTCGGTGGCGTATCACTGTGTACACACGCACTCGCGCGAGCACAAGCGCACACAACCCGACATACACACGCGCGCGCGGGCGGCCGGGCACACGTACACGGCGGAATGCACGTCTTCGCGCTTGTGGGGTTTACGGCCCGTATCTTTATGCGCGTGTACGTGTTCGAGAGTACGTGGCGCGGCATTAACTGCGAGAGGGGGCTCGGGGGAGGGGGGTGGCGAAGCGACGAAGAGGTCGAAGGGGGGAGCGCGACAGCGGGTGCCAGGGCAGTAAATCCACGTCTGTGTGAGTGAGGAGAAATGGCTATGGATGGGTGTCGGTGAGATACGGCTGCGAGGGGGCGCGAGAGGGTGAGTGCGTCTAGACCGGGGTGAGACTGCGTCACAACCCTGGCCCCGTATCGCGAGGGGGTTCTGTTTAACGACAGACGATCGAGGGATGGGGATTCACCTGCCGCCGTTGCACCCCTTCTTCCTCTCTCTCTCTCTCTCTCTCTCTCTCTCTCTCTCTCTCTCTCTCTCTCTCTCTCTCTCTCGTTCTTTCTCCGTCTCTCCCCCGTTGTCTCTCATTCTCTCCGTCACTGCACCTCCTTCCTCCTCGCGGCGCTCGCGCTCTTTACGACAGTCGGCGGCGATGTTAACTGCCCTGTTGCCGCCGACATTCCACTCCCTTTAAACTCACGCCACGGGCTGAAGGAACGTAGGAGGAGGGGAGGAGCGCCGGCCGAAACTGCCCTCGCGCAACGCGCGCTACAACCCCAATCGGTTAAGGGGCTACGCATCGCGATACAGCGGGACCGCTTGAAGTCGCACCTACCTCACTGGGCATCGATTAAATGAGCTCTGCTTGGCAAGTGAGTGTTTCATGTTACTCGACGTTGCAATATTGCGACGTTTCTTTTCTTTTTCCTTTTTTGCACGAGTCGCGTTAATTGGATGATGATGTCTAGCTGCGTCGCGCAGTTATCGCGACAAATCGACAAAGCGATTCGGCGTTTTCTATCGCGAACACATATGGTACATCGCATCCTGCATCTCGATTACACAGCGACAAGGATGGCACTTTCGTCCCGCGCATTTCACGCTCGTGTCTTTTGTCCGTTTACGGAACTTCCTCGTTTTATATATCCGCATTGTTTGGCTTAATCGCGTGTTCTTTTGAAAAAGAATCAAACCTCGGGGCCGAGCAAATTTTCTTGCGCAAACTGCTGTCGCGGCGAAAACAAACATCAAATCGAATCAACAGTCTGACGTAGCGATTTCAACCGCAAACTTCAGTCGGCAGCGAGAAGTTAATGGAATTAGAACGTAGTTGCATATATGACGTGAAGGTCCCTTCAGTTATCAAAATATTCATCTTGCTATATAATATACGAATACTTTCTGTCCGTTGTCGAAAAGAAAATACGTCAAATACAATGAGGAATATATCGCTTTAATCTGACGATCTCCATACATTAAACTAAATTTGCAGCTTCTTTCACACCAACACAAGATGGAGAAGACACGGAAATTCTGCTGAAAGAATCACGGCAGTCAGTTCGCCGTACACACAATCCTGAAATTAATTTACTTTATATAATACAAAGATAACAGTTATCAAGAGCCAGCCATAGGTGATTCTTGCTCAACAAATCATTTTTCGGTTAAATCTCCGATGTTCGGGACAAATTTTCACTTACTACTCACTGGCCTCTCCTTTCCTTTTCATCGAATTAAATAACAACAATGGCTGTATTCTATTTCTTTTGACTTCATTTCATTCGAGTTGTTGCAACTGACCTTCTTTTCCTCTGCGATGTATGTATATGTAATGTGTCTATGTGGATACATGTTTCATATATATGCCATTTTTGCACGTTGCGTGGTCTGATCGATTTTCACGGGGCGACAGAGATGGACAATTCGACGGGGGGACAATTCGCAGGATGATGTTGAGAAATAACGTCGCGGTCGCGGCTGAGTTTTCTGCTCGCCGCCCCCCCGCCGAGTGCGTCTTATAAACTTACTTTACTTCTCCGCGCCGTCGTTTTAAATAATTACGCTCTTAATAGGGAGAAGCTGCGTCTAGACGAGGGTGAGACTGCGTCATAAACCTGGCCCCGTATCGCACGGGAGAGCTCCCGCTTAACACACTATCGAGGGGTAGCAGACTCATCCGCCGTCCCCCAGCCTCCCCTCGGCTGCCCTGGACCGCTTCTCTTTGTCCTACTCTTTACGACTAGCGGCGCGCGGCGCGTTAACTGCCTTCTTCCCGCCGATATTACGTTCCCTTTAAAGCCATTTCGGGGGATAGTGGTCAAGTGCTCGTCGGATATCGCGTTTCAAGGTTCAGCATGCGCTCGCGTATACTCGTACATGTGCATATATCCACGCCGCGCCTTTAAAGGGGAGTCGAGGGACGGCCCGTAGCGCATTTAACTGCGTCGAGTCCATCAGCGTGCGCCGTCCGCCGTTCGATTTCTGATTAATGCCCAATTTCTTCACCTCTAGATTAGTTGTCGATAACTTTATCCATGAGACATCTGCCAAAATCGCTTTTCTTCACCTTTGTAAAGTTTATATCAGGCAGATAAACTTATCCGGTACCTCAAGTAGCGGATATCTGGCAGATATTGATTTCAGTGCCCTGACATAACCTAAAAATTACAATAATACGTAATCTGCTGTTGCTGTTGCTGTTTTTGAATGAAAACACACAACATGGATGTGTTACTCATAGATATTAATGTTTTTGAATCTGAAGATGATGATGATGATGAGGAGGAGGAATTTGTGGAAAGAAGACCCTGTACAATAAGGAATAAACCGAACAATTTTCAAGTGTGGGATGACACAGAATTTTTCGAACGATTTCGTTTGAAAAAGGTTACAGGATGGTCGAATTAGTACATACAATTGAGGACCGATTGTTAATACTGTGGAAGTTACTTTAATTAGTTAATACTAGCCCGAAAAAGAATATGTCGCTTAGCAGAATATGGTGATTTATAATAAATTTCTAGTACATTTTGTGTGTCAAAAGCTAATAGTATGAAGGATAGCTATCTGTTAGATACGTAACCAGAGGTTTCAGTGAAGAAAACGAATTTTTAGTTATCTAACGGATATCTTTATCTGGAAGATAGCTATTGGGAGGTGTGATGAAACCGGGCATAAGCGAGCTCCTGAGTCGCGATCACGTGTCTTTCATATCGGCGTTATCACGCACTGCTGTAGTCACTTGCCACTAAACGATCTCGAGGACCGAAAACATGCCGTCATTGTGCTTCGTCGCTGTCAGCTACTTTTACGTGATCTCGGCAAATTTTTGCGGCTCCTCTCTCTCTGTCTCTCTCAGCAGAAATTGCGTTGGTAAAAATCCGGGGCTGCGAAGTTCATCAACTTCGAATTTGAAAAGGTGAAACTGAGAGATAAATATTACGGATTTTACCAGAGTAAATGAGAGTAATAGTTAAGGGGGTGAATAATGCAATATATATTCTTGCTTCGCATAATTTCTTAATTCCTTTCTTACATTGGAAAGTTCGATAGGAATTGGAAATTAGAAAAAATGGTACAGAAATATTTAAAGAGAGACGCCTTATATACTGTATTCCATCGTTTTTAGAATAGATCACTTTTGCAAAAATATGAATCGACCGTAAACGCAGCATAAATTATTGATCGCATCTTAATCGATGACAACTATTAAGCGATACATAATCTTGTATCTTGACGTCTCTTTTATCGAAAATAGCGTTTGTTTTCCGAAGTGTTTGCAGCCTATAAACAAATCAGAAGACTTATAAGCCACTTTTTTCAATAAAAAGGGTTCAGGATATGAGCATTCTACACTCTAATGAGGATTTTTCAATGAGGCTTAGCTCCTGTCACAAACAATTCCGGTGCAAAATTAATTGCACTCGTCTAGGATGAGTGATAGTTGCATATAACTAGGAGCACTGCAAATATCCTTATTGACAAGATCAACGAGTGACTATTTCAGCAACCTCTGCATTATCGTCCGAATGGGGGCAGGCAACCCGTCATATTGACCTGTATGTTAATGTTGCACTCTGTACATACGACGTCAAATAAGTGAAGAAGCTGCTACTTGGCAACGACGAGCTATCTGTTGACTTTCGACACGAGTCGCAGAAGAGAACCGTTCCAGTGAAAAATCTTCAGCTGAGCTCCTCGAGCGCAGATTATTAATCAATAAGTTCCTGTATCGAAAGGAACATAATCTATAGATCGATAGAAGAAATAATCAGATAGGAAGCTCATAAACAGTTTCCAATTTCGAGGTATTTATTTCTCGAATGAGGGGAGGGAGGAAGAGAAACGACTAACAATGAGGTGACCCGTATTATCCAGTATATACAACAACTTGTCGTCACAGCAACTACTTTTTCCAATGCCATTTTAAAGTCCATAAATCTATCAGTCGTTGCGTTATATTATTAACGCGAATGTTATTAATTACAGATTACAGACGGAAAAGTAGCAGGCACCAATTGCGCTGGTACTCGTTACACGCGTTCAGTGCTGCGTCCACCTAGCCGTAGGGGAAAAAAGTTCATCGCAGCGAGACCGTCTGGTTCGCCGATTATACGCTTCTCGCTTTATGTCGCGATACATCGATATGTCTGCAACAAGCGCGTATGGAGATACGAAGGTACCCCGTGCGGTGGAACTCCCCGCACGACTCAAGCTGCGTTCCGAAATGCGGAAAAATTAATAGCACTGTCTTCGCGTTCCGATTCAACATGCTGGAAAGTGGCAGAACTTATTGCCTTTTTCATGAAGATGAGTTCTAAGGAATTACTGATCTTCGGCTAATTCCACACATTAGATTTATTCCGAAATCGGTTTCGGAAACTTTGGTTTTAGTTTCAAGATTGATGGGCCTTAGACTAAGTTAGATTCGTTTGTAATTGATCAGCTGATCAATTCTCAAGATAATAAGTAATAAAATATCTATCCATTTTTCTGTCTAATAATTACAAAGTTAATGTCCACGACCAAGTTTGTAAACAAAAGTAATACATGGCTGCGAATGTTCAAGCATCATCAGCTGATCAATTACGGCATGTATCCAAGTCAATTTAAGGCCTACCAACCTTATAACTAAAACCAAAATTTCCGGAAACAAGCCTGTTATTCTGTTAGCCAAGTTCAATAATTCATGTGGCGCTGTGTCAACTTGTATATTAGACTGATATAAATAAAAGGAGTAAAAAATGTCATTAGCAAAAGACGCGATTATTGACGGAAGTGAAAATGAAACTTATGAAATATTATGTTCTTCATCGTCTGACATAACGAGCTTTGAACATCATCTTCAAAATAAAATTTGCGATACCTTGTGCACCGAGTAAAATTACTGTTGACTTCACCGTGATTCCAAATTTACCTTCAATATTTACAGATAAGTTATCTATTCTGCTAATCATTGCACGCGATATTGCAAGTGCGATCCGTTTACCGCGTAGCTGATAATAATAATTTTCGAACGACTAACGTGCTGCTTTTCGTAGAAGCACTGTCAGTCCTACCTTTCGGAACGCAGCCTCAGTCGGGACGTGGCGCTTGATATTAACGCGAGGTGCGTCTCGACAAACCGCGCCGTGCGAAAGCCGGTCTGCATCGCGAGAGTTATCACTGAACGATAGACTATTAGGGAGGGTGGGGGGAGATTTACCCGACAATCCCTCGGCGCCCCCGTCTCTCGAAGGCACTTCCGTCTCGCCCTTTACCGCAGGCGCAGCGGACTGTTAACTGCCTTGTTTCCGCTGATATTCCGTAGCCTTTAAAGTTAGCCAGCTCGCGAGAAGGCTGTCGGCGGTCGCGAGGATGGAACAGGCCGGCAGACCGTGACTGCATTCTGAAACGAGACACACTTGAGAAATCGGACGGACTGCACATGTACGACACCGCCAAGCGGCGCCGCCGTTCCAAAGCGCCGCTTTCCACTTGGCCTTGCCGCCAAGACGACACCTAACGCCTGTCGTCAATATTTTAACGATACCGCGTGCACACGGTTTTCCCGCACGGTGCGAGACGAGACGAGGGCAGGCAAGGGCGAAGAGAAAAACACGCGGAGGAAGCGAGGAAGGGCGGAAGGGAGATAAAAAAGGGAGAAGAAGAGAAAGGGAAGGGAACGCGCGGGGCACATTGTACGATACGATAATGGATGTGAAATTTAATACTCACGTTCCAGCGACGCTGTTATGAAGTGAGCGTAACTAAACCGCACTTTTTTTTCACACATGCGTACGGCTTAGGAAACTATTAACAGGTTTTCCAGCTGGCTCTCTCTCTCTCTCTCGCTCGCTCGCGAGAGCTTCACTCGATAACGCGGCACGTTATACGCAAACGCTTTATCTCGCGAAGTATAATTCATAATGGCATTACACAGAGCGGCGGGGAGGCAGGGAGGGAGGCGCGTCTCACGGGCGTCATTCTATCGCGCCTTTAACGTGACGCGATCGTCGTTGCGGGAACGTTGCAGAATAAGCTGCGAACGAGCGACGCGCGCTCTCTTCGGCTGAAGCCGCCCTAACCTCGGACTCAGACTCTCGTCCCGAGACGTCAATTAATCTCGTTATCGCGCGCTCGTCATCTCTCACGACGACGCGGACGCGCGCGCGCGGCGAAGAAGGCTCTCGCGCGCTGTGCAGGATCCTTCTTCACTTAACCCCGCGCCGATGCGCGTTAATTGACATCTCAATAGCGATTTCAACAACCACCCCTCCGGCCATCCGCGGGCATCCTGCGGCCATCGTCCCAAACGTCATCGGCGGCGTCGCGCTCGCTCGCACGCAACACTGAAGTACGCTCGCGCGCGCGCGCGCGCGCGCGCGTGTGTGTGTGTGTGTGTGTGTATGTGTGCGTGCGTGGCGACGTGCGAACGGAAGGCAAGACGGTGCAGTGTGGTAGTGGGGCAACACGGCGGGTGGCGGCGGGTGGCGATGTGGCGGCGTTGTTAGAGAGCGGCGTGGGGCAGGTCCGGAGAGTGGTCGATACCGCCGTCTGTGCGCGCCTCCTTCCACGGACTTCCACTTCCCTTCCGTTACGCCACCTAGGTCCGGGTCCGGCTGGCGTCATCAGGGTCTCCTCAGCCTTCCGATTCCGTATCGTAAACGCAAGACGTAAGACGCCTCGGGCACCCGTCAGACGCGCGATGCTTCTCCCCGTCGCGCTCTCCCGCCGCCTCCCACCCCCCACCCCCCGTCACCCCCTCCCTCCCCTGCCCTGCTCTGCTCTGTCTCTTGCCCTCCCGCCCCCTCTTCTCCTCGGCCCCGCTCTGTCCCGCTTCCCGGCTCTTGGGGCTCTTTCCGTTTTCTCCGTTGCCTTCTCTGTGTGCTCCTCTCATCTTGTCCTCTCTTCGCGCCCATCCAGGTCGCCCTCTCCTTCGCCCTCCCCCGTCTCTCTTTCTCGCCCTTCTCACGCTCTCATCGTTGTTTTCCCTCGCGCGCGCGCGAGGATTTTTGCGCGAGTCGCAAGTGCCCGTAAATACCGCTCATCTGCAATTCCGATCGGCGTGCCCCGATCGATCGCTATTGATCCCTCCGTCGGATTACGACATGCCCTACGACGTGTCTATTTTCGTGCCGAAGCCGCTCCGTCGTATCCTCCCCCTGTGATCCCACTCCCACCCCTTCCCGCTTGCCTCCCACTGCGTATCACACTCGAGTGACCGAATGCGTCGGAGATGTTGTTTTTTCTCAAAGCGAGAGGAGAGTTATTTTTCTTAAGCGTTTAGATATCTCTCGCGATTGCGCGGAGCCTCGGAGGGGAGGCTCGGCCGTCGTCGAGGGGATCTCGCGTGGAACGTCGAAGCAGAGGAAGAAGAGACGCGCAGAAATACGGAGAAGAACAAGAAGAAGAGGACGCAGAGACGATTCTGCGTCTCGACGCAGTTACTCCGCTTCTTTGCCGCTCGTAACGCCTCATTCTCCGCGTGGCATCGATACAACCTCATCTCCCCGCGAGAGGCGGATGCGTGAAAGAGAGATAGGGGTCGAAAGAGGGGGGTGAAGAGAAACAGAGAGAGAGAGAGAGAGAGAGAGAGAGAGAGAGAGAGAGAGGGGAGGGAGACGATTTATCGGGCCATCTCTCTCGCGTTCCTTTTTGCGCGCCTCGACAGGCGGATCCCGCGGCATGAGAAACGCACGCGGAATGCACGTGTCGAAAGGGCCGAACGCACCTGAGCGGATCGACCGATCGCGAGAAGCGCGACCAATCGATTCCGTCGCGGGGCACCTCGCCGCCGCCGCCGCGAGAGCGGCGCCATTCTTTGTCCGCCGACCTTGAGGTGTATTGACCGATCCAGATGTCTCGCGATCGAGGAGCGGCCCGATCTCCGATTATCGCGCTTCTCTATTGTGGAGTCCAGCGAGACGACGCGTCATCACCATCGTGCCGTTCAATGATATCTTTATTCCCATCGACCCCTCCCTCCCCCAGTTTCACCTCTCTTCTCTCATATTTAATTACTCATTATGTAAAACGCGCAGATAAGTCGTCGGAGCAGAATGGAACGTGAGAGAGCCTGATAGGTCCTGCATGAAAGAGCCCAGAATCCTTAAAGTTCGACTCTCAGTTTGTGACTTTCAGTTAAGTGTTTTGAAGATTTACTATATGATAGTTCTTGATGTGGATCAGGAGTGTCAATAGACCCCAAGTCCGATAATGAACAGTTTCTGAGTCTCTACAACTCAAATTCCGAGCAGAAATCAAATACGGCAATTTTTTATATGGCCTGATATGGCATAACTAGGCAAACCATAAGAAGGCACTTCGAGTGGTCCTTCTCCGCTCGGAATGTGGCAATTGTCTTGCAATATTTTCCGGATTATACCCTGACCAGCGATGACGTCATTATTTGGATCCTGATTTGGTCCTGATGGACATTTGATCAGGTTTCTCAATTTCAGGCAATTTTATCAGGGCATGCAGCGATATGCTTCCTTATTACGTGCCGGATCCGATAAAGTTATTCGGGCCCTATTTGAAGTTTGGAAGCCGGATGGGGTTTTAATACGGCCGTAGGATAATGTTCTGCTCGGGAAGTTGGGGTTTTCTCATTTGTCATTTGTGAAGACTAAACCATCTGTTCTTAAGAAATCCACATAAAAAGGTTCAGAGGATTTAAATCAGAAGACCCAAAGGATCATAAGACTGGTTCACCCCGTCCAATCCATCTTTCATCGGAGGACCTGCTTAAACGAGTTTCTTAGACGAGTTACATCGGACAACACAAAGTGCCTGTCAAACAATTAAAACCAAGCCGGGAATGTTTGAAAGAATTCGCAATTCTACAGTACGAAAATGTGAAGCGTGCGCAGAAATAAGAGGACTTGTAGAAAGCTTAAGCTTTGCAAGCCCCAAAAGCGACTATGTCACTTGTCCTAATTAAAACAAATGATTGTGTTCACAACTCCGACTCATCAATATTCATTTTTCGACCCATGTTTATTCGGACTTTATTCCTTCATTTTGTGAATACCATCGGCCCTTAACCCTTTAACGCCCGACTTTTTTATAAGTGTTTTAAGAATAAAATTTGAGTTTTTTTGAACTAAGACTATAAGTGGTAATAACAAAAAAAAATATCAGAATTTTATATTGATTTTTTTTATCGTTCGTTTTTTGTTTATTGGTAAATATGACTTAGATCCTAAAAGCATATACGAAATGAGCAACCTATACAGAGAATAATGAAGAGTAATCTATATGACATAATTCTGATAGTCAGCTTGATATTTTTGAGTTGAAACTTTACTATATTTATGAGTGAAATTTATCATTCAGAGCGTCAAGCTTACTATTTCAGAAGAATATCTTATAGATCACCATTTAGATAGTCAATCGTTCCTTCATTTTTCGTCCCATTAAAAACTGTAGGTCACCAGGCTCCACGAAAATAGGTTGATTTCTTGATTTTCGTATCCACCACATTGGATTCGCCATTTTGAATTTCTGTATTCTTCTAATTTCACATTTTGCATCTGAGAAGGCTTCCAAATGTATAAAATTATAACAGATACCAATCTATTCATTTATAATGCTCTTCTAGATGTCAGTAACAATGCTAACTATGCCTACTTGGAATTTGACGAAACATGTTATCATTAAAACTGAGCTAAAAACAGACTAAACCGAATCTACACACAATCTATATACCATTTTTTAGAAGAAGAATTCACCTTTACAGTGGTGCAAAGAAAACGAAAATATCTCCTTTTCTGACTAAGTTACGGATTCTTAAATCCGTTTCTGGTAACTATAGTTACCAGTAGGCATTAAAGGGTTAAAGACCTGCGCTCTTTTTCTCCAAACGTCCTGTACATCAATGTTTCCCTCACTACACTGCATGATGTATGAAAACCCCGAGATTCAGCCGCGGTAACGTTGAAACTGTTCATTTTCCCAGACTCACTGCTACCTTCGACCTACGCACGAAGAACCATCGCATGGCAAATCTTGAAAAAATTCAGCCAAAAGCCGCTTTCCATAAAGGTCCTGCAGGGTCCCTCAGCGCGACCGTTCTCACGCCGCTCTCGCGGGACGCGAGCGTCGCGAACGCTCGAGAGCCTATAATTGCTCGCGACGTAGGGGGCGCAAGGTAAATCCGCTTCCCACTTCGCGGAGCGTGAGGCTGCGTACATAACGCGTAGCTCTCGGCTGGCTGGCTGACTGGCTGGTTGGCTGGCTGGCTGGCTGGCTGACCGGCTAGCAGGCCGATGAACACACGCGGACGCGAGCGGCGGTGACGGCGCGCGGGGCGCGGAGGAGGCGCAGACGGTGGTGCGGCCGGGGTGGCGTTCGTGGGGGGTTGATTGTGGCGCATGAGTATATTACGCAATTATCTTATGAACGTGACGCGTACGAGTGCTCGCGCCGGGGCCTCGCGTGAAGGATGATAACTTCTGGTCCGAAGAGGGCGCACGCACCGAGCGCACGTATGCGCCGAGCGTGGCTCCACGTGCATTCGCATCGGCAGCAGGACGAAAAGAAGTCTCTCTCTCTCTCTCTCTCTCTCTCTCTCCCCCTCTCCCTCTCCCTCTTTCTCTCCTCAAATTGGCGGCATTACGCAATTACCCCGCTGCCTGCGGTCCCGCGGTCTAACCCCGCGTAACCCCGGCCTTATAAATAGCCCCTCTCCTCGCCCGCATATCCTACGCGTGCTTTTCTTCTCCCGCCGCCCTCTCCCCCTCTCCATCTCGTTCCTCCTGCTCCCCTCCCCCGCTCCTCGTCTCCCCCGTGTCGCGAAAGTATCCATTCGGAGAACACACCCGCTCGCTAGCTCGACGTATTTAATCTAACACCTACCTACCTGCCTACCCGCCTCCCCTAACTAACAATCTCGCCTTCGCGTTACACCCATGATTATACAGCCGGCTCTCTTTTAATTCAGGCTTCTGAATGCTCGCCCGGCGAGAAGAGGCGCGCGTTCGAGCGCGACTTTGCGCTTTTCTCCGGGAAAACGACGTTACGCAGATAGTTGCTGGATTTCTCGGAGCGATCGCTCCCCTCCTCCCCCCCTCTCTCACTCTCTCTCTCTCTCTCTCTCTTCCTCATTGTCTATTCCCGGTTGCGTTAATTTGGCGCGACGGTCGCGGAGCGTCGTTTTATAAGCGAAGCGGCGTGAGCGTCCGACGGCGGTCGCGCGGAACTATTCGCATTTGATCGTGAAAGTTTCATTATTCCTGTCGAACGACGACGATAGCGACGATGGCAGGAGCCGGAGCTCGGCGGTGGCCGGTGGCTGTTAAAACGGCCTCGGCAGACATTCAGTTACTAATTTAAAAATC